GCTGTTTCCCGTTTCAGGTGGAAGAGTAGGGTCCGCTTCTCCGCTTAAACTCGTCGTGGCTGTCATTGTCGAGCTAGGTGACACACTTGGCGAAGGTGTTGCACTTTCACCGGTATCAGGCAGACCATCACCATCTTCCGGTTCGCAATTGGTAAATGTGCCATCCACTGAAACGTTCAGGTTATCAGCAGTGATTGCGACGCTTGTCGACCTATCATCGCCATCGCCATCCACTGGCATAAAGATGAGCACTTGTCCATTAAGAGTCGATGTGACAGATACCGTGTACTCACAAATGAGCAATGAATCGAATTGAAAACTTCCGTTACCATCAGTTGTCACTGCAAGGCTGAACGATGGAGTGTCTTTGCATGTAACTGTTACCTCAACATTCTCTAGACCGCTATACTCATCACCCAACCCGCATCCAATGGTTCCCTCGATGCTACCCAATGTACCATAGTAGATATTGTTGTCAGTAGAGTTGGGGGCGATGCTCGTCAACTCTATATCGGTGACTGATACCAAATTGCTGCTTCCTTCGTCAACAACGCCGTAGATGGGACCCACTGCAAGCACACGGCCAGGTGCAAACATAATGTATCTGCAATAGGGCAAGTCCGAGAATAGGAAATACCCGTCGTCGTCAGTAGTTGTGGTGTAATTTTTGAATTGCTCTTCATCAGATACAACCATTGACAATGGGCACGTGACTGTGATCTCAACATCGGCAATGGGCTTTTCTGACACCAACTCTAGAGCGTGGCCAGATATACTTCCCAGCTTGCCGTAGGTAAACGTACCCAACGTCACGGTTTCATTGTAAGAGGATAACGTGATATCTGTTGAACTATCGTCGCCATCGCCATCGTTGGGTCCGTCTATTAATACCCACTCATCCAGTGTAGGTGGAACCGACACTGTGTAGTCGCACATCAACATCTCATCAAATACATATTCACCGTTTGCATCTGTGGTTGTGGTTTGCGACATCATCGCATTACCCGGACAGATAGCAGTGACTTCCACGCCCTCGCAACCACTCACATCTGCACCCTCGCGGCACAAAACTGTTCCCTCGATACTTCCAACATCTCCGTAATAAACAACTACGTTTCCTGTGGCACGATCTGGAATAAGTGCTTCTGCGCTACCAACTACAATCTCATCGGTATCTCCTTCAAAGAAGAAACCGTAGAAAGGCCCGGATCCGTCCACATTACCCGGTACGCTGATACTATATGTACAGTCAGGCAAGTCATTGAACTCCCGAGTACCTTCATCGTCTGTATTCTTTTCTACCATACTGGTATCGTCCTCGCATGTGAGTGCAATTGGAACGTCAGGTAAAGTTTGCTCTGTCACAATATTTACCACTGTTACTGAAATCTGTTGACCGGGGGCTCCAGCATTACCAGTATCGGGGGGGCCACGTTCTTCATCAACAATTATTACGTTGTTATCAGTAGGCGGAGAGCCAGGGTCAATGACATCTACTACGTCCGCTCTAGTTTCATTGGTGCAGCTATTACAAGTTGCGAGTAAACTCATGCCATTGGTGATGGTGTTTGATTTGGAGCAACAGTTCTTTGGTAGGCATGCCTGTGGTGAGAGTTCAGCGTCGAGAGTGATGTAAGCTACCAATGTAAAAGACTTCTGAATGCCATGCAATAAAATTCGTGGGTCACAAAGTAAAGCACACTCGATTAGATCGTTAGACAAGCTAGTATCATATACACGCAACCTTTCCAGATTCAAAAAATAATACAGGCATAGCATTTATGTAGAAAAGCAAATATGGCCAGATTAAAAAAATTCAGGTTGTCTGCAAAAGCGATGTCATAATTTGAGCTTGAGAAGATGCTGTATTTGTCTGTGTATATCACATGTGAACGTACCTGGATGACCTCACCCGTGAAGGTTCCTTGTACGCTGAAGTCTTCATATGCACAGTAAGGGCCATTTCCAACGTCGACCTCGCAACCATCATTATCATTAGGCAGACACTGCTGATCAGTAGCTTTAGTACACTTATCACCGTCACTGTAATACCCTTCGTCGCAAAGTCCGCAGATCCACTCACTTCGTCCCGTGTCCGGATCGAACCATATTGAAAGCACTTTACAGTTGGCAGGTGTTGCCGGGCGTGGATCGACGGGAAGCTGGTAGGCGGGAATCTTCAAATCACCGCCAAGGTCACACTCAGAGCTTGCTGGTGGTTGGTTGTCAATGGGTGGGAATAGCAGGTCTATGAACACCTTGAGCGTCTGACTCTGGTAGCACTTCGTGAAAGCTTCCACACAGGGTTCGTCGCACAAATTGACTAGCAACGATGATTTTCTAAGTGCTCCATAGGTGTTACTGTCATGTGTGCCGGGCACCCATGACAACAGCCCACTGTAGTAGGTATCAACCAGTGATACTGATGCGTCCACATCACACTTGGCGCCTACTGGCAGAAGGGAATTAAATTTTTCAATGCACGGTCTAATTACCTGTTCAAACACCTGTTCACCACCCTCTTGCAGGTCAACCATGTGCCTACCGATGGTGATAAGTGTAGTGGTCAGGCAGTTATTTTCTGGAACCATGGGTGCTTTGACTGTTTTTGTGTCTGTAAGCGAGTGGGTGACTGTAGCCGTTGCATGGAACCATGAGTGCGAATTTTCAGGATGGGTAACTGCTATATCATGCGTGGTGTCCATATTCTCACCAATACCACCACTATTTTCACCTTTGCTGCTACCACGATTTCCAGGCACAAGGGGTTTAAAATCCCAAACTCCTTGTTCACGTACTTCCTGATCCACATCGTGCGAGACTGCTTGTCCTGCATTCACTATGCCACTCGAGCACAGGTAAGTGCATAATAGCACAAATGATTTTGACGGGTACATCATCAATGATTGTGTCGCTCACGATCTCTGTTATTGTGCTATTTATAGCTGGTATATTCCTGAAGCTCGATCATGTATCGATGCCAGCTCGAAGACTTTAATCTAACAACACCCGGTTTAATTACTATTCTGTATTACAAACTATACATATATTTCTACAATGAAGCTAGGATCTACCGTGATTTTATGTAAATACAATGTACATGCCGAACAAGTGCATTCGAACGCTGAATGTACATGGAAGAACCGAAATTCTAAAATTCTGATTGCTATGCCTTAGATCAGCTTTATGGACTTGCTAAACCAACTCTGAGTGTGTGATACATTGGTAATGTTCAACCAGTGAAAGTAAATCAGCTGTAACAGGATTCTTATAAGTAGGTAAGAACTGCTGATATATCGACAGTAAAAGACTAAATTGTGTACTCCAACAAAAAGTTCAGTTATGTTGGCAGTGTAGGTCACTATGATCACACGGACGTCGATCTCAAGACAACTAATCTCAGTTCACATGTCTGTGTTTTGTGTCCTCCGTAGACCGTAGCACAATTAGGGACTCAAAAATGGGAGAAAATAATGTAAACATAAATGTAACTACAGTGTAATTTTTTAACTTCACTTACTCTATTGCCAAGGTTAATCCTTCAATTTTTGGAAAAGATGACGGAGACTACTCTTAATTGCTCAAAGACTGCACAGGCTGAATTCAAAAATAAAAAAAACAAATAAAATATTGGGGGAACTGGGGACTGCGTCACGGCGGCAGAGCACCATAGCAGGCATAGGCTAAATATATAGAGGTAGGACTGTGGGAATTGGGAAACTGTTAAAATTCTGAAGTTGTCTTTGGCATTTTTAAAAAACATCGTTCGAAAACTCTGTCGTTGCTAGGCATATATCGAATGAAGATCGGTCTATAAAACAAATTGCATGGCCCACTGTGTCCTCACTGTCCTGGATTCCTGACTGTCCTCTGGAATTGGATTTGGGTCTCGAACTCTCGAGCGGAAAGAAAGTTTCTCTACCACTAAATACTGAAAATACAAACGACCCTGTAATTGTCGACAACTCTCCCAGTCTCCCTACTCTCTGTCTCTGTCTGTCTCTGTAGTAGTATCTCTCTAGTAGTAGTAGTAGTGTTTTAGAGGGAAAGGCTGAAGACTCTGTCTTTCTCTGGGAGAGAGAGGGGATCGTTAGACTTAAACAATTACCAACCATTCTGAACAGGCATCTAAAAAAAAGTTAAGAGCTACAACGTAACAACTCAGTGAACTCACCGCTCGTTTCAATTTCATCCACACAAGAAGAAGAGAGAGAAGCGAGAGGGGAGGACTGCTGGTGGAGGAGTGGAGGACTGAGACTCAAGAGTGGAGATTTGTGGACAGTGGAACATGAAGAGTGGCGACTGGAGCGGGGAAAGTCGGTGGGTTGGAGTCCTGGACTCTACTCTAGTAGTGGACTCAGTCTCACAGTCTGTCAGTCACAGTCTCACAGACGAGTTTTGAAGTCTGAAGTCTGGAGTCTGGCGTCTGGATTCTGGAGCTAATCTCAAGTGCTCAACCGTCATATGTAAGCGATTTTAATAAAAAAACGGACAGTAAACTATATACTACATACTAAATACATAGTAGACTACTACTACTAGTAGAGTGTCAATACTTTACTACTACATACTACTACTAGTAGTATGTTAATGTAGTATTTAGTAGTAATAGTAGTAGACTCGGACAGGAAACCCTCCACACGACCACGTCCACACTCTCGACACTATCAGTGCTATCACGCGAGAGAGAGAGACGCAGAGAGTATTTATTTACACATTAGTCAGTAAATAAATACTAAATACATAAGGGATTCTCAAATTAGCGACTGAGACAGTCACACACACACAGTCCAGTCACACACACTACACTGACAACAGCCTACAGTCTACACACGCACACAGTCACTGCCTCACTGCTGGTCACACACACACACACAACACAAGAAGAGAGTGAGTGAGAGAGAGATAGAGAGTAGAGACTTTCTCTAGTTATAGAGTAGAGATAGGGGATAGATACTCGTATTTCGATTGGCCATCAAAGTAGACTATATATTCAAGAAAATTATTCACTGTTTTGTAATTTGTATACATTTCTGTTCTGGACAGGTTCAAAGCTTGAATTTGAGCAACCAATATGAGCCAACGAAAAATAAGATTTAAAAGATAGAAGTGCTGTATTTCCCAGGGATCCAGGTATGTACTATGTATTATATTGTATTTTCTATTTTGTACAGGTTTTGTGAAGTGTAAATATAATAAAGGCCAATGAAACGTAACCATAAGAAAATCCGATTCGATTTGATACTGAAGCAGGTGTGTGACTGGTGTGAGACTGGTTTTGGCAATATGGAGTTATGGACGATTGTAATTTGGACGACGGACTCGGAGTCCCGCCCGTTCAAAAAGACAAAAACACGAATCATATTGACATACGTATTGATTTCCTTCGCTACCAAACAATTGAGTATGTACTCCGTGTTTGAGAGGGATGCTATGGTACACTACATACTTTTGAGCTCTTTTACAATGTTTTGTTTTGTTTGTTGTTTGTTTGTTTTTCATAAAAAAAACAATAATAATAATATAAACAAATACAACACGACAAATTATAAATAAATACAGTTGACATGAATATTCGATTAAATACTGAATCAAGCTTACTTAGCCTAGTGAATACACCACAAAATCAAAGTACAAGATAAAATTGTTTGTATATAGCGTATTTGCACACGCGCACGAAAACTCGAATAGATGGCCACATTATGTTTACTCGAATCGAGTTAGACATAGATAGCTACAATGTGATCGTATACTTTTTAATAGGTACTGTGGGGTTGCTGATGATACCATTATGTCTCGATTTTATGGCGCCCTTCCTGCCCGTAAACATTAGCAGAGTAACCAATAGTGCATCCAATATATCGTTAATGATAGGTATTGTCGGCGTATACGTGTGCTGCCTATGTTTCCACTTTGTTAAGGTATGTATTTGTACGACGTTGTCTTGCATGTCCAAAATTTTGATGTAAGCAGTATGCGATTGTCTTAACCTTAAGTTTCTCTCAGAGAGACATATAGGCATATAAAATGTAAAAATTGTGCACTTTTCCACTGAACCGACGGAGTCTATCGTGTAATATACACAATTTACGTTCTGCAATGAAAAAAAAGTTTCAGTATCCAACATGAGGACTCTGTTCAAGCTTCAGAAACGTTATTTAATGCAATAATTTCTCACAATATATTGTATACATATATATGGTTCCGATTTCATTCAAGCTAACGATGTTTAGAATATTGCTTCTTTTGACATTGAATAGATTTCATGTGCGATGCGCGAACATTCTAGGCAATCCACGAACGCATATATACTGATAGTAGTTTCGAAGCCTGGTACGTATCTGTGTTCAAGGACGACTATAGAAGCTCTACACCTCACGAGATGAAAGACACTACTGAAAGATCCTAATCTAAGCATCTTTTACCCAACATAGTTACTCAAATATACAGAACGGATACAGCGTAGTTAGTGCGTGTAATTTATTAAGTTTGCAAGAAGCGTTTGAGATCAGTCCGGAAAATTTCACTTAGAAACGCGCACGTTCATTTTATCGTATCCGTATGCATATACAGGTTCTTCCGCATATGCAACGAGAATATGGGACCTCCTCCACCAGTACTGTTATCCATACGATAATCACCTGGTTTTTTGTGATCAATGGTCTCTGCCACTTCTTTTTAGCTGTCGCGTTACAACCCAACTCGCGTAATGAACGGATCAGCGAGCTTTGGACGCCTTATAGTAAAACAGCAAAACCAGAACCTTATGCAGATGCCCACGCAGGTTCAGTACCAAATTCCGTAGTAGCAAATTCCATAGTGGATAAGACTAGCGGATCTGATCGCTGTGATAACGTAACGTTGTCAAATACATCTGCAATTTCCGATGGTGCTCACGCTCAACAGGATAGACTTGATGACAACGTCAGCCGCATAGAGGTAGCAAGTGGCACAATCACAGCTAAAATAAAAGGAGAGAATTCTGAAATGGATAACGCTGCCGAAGTGAAGGCACAGGAGTTGTCGTCAAAGAATTCAAACGTTCATGAGGTAGTCCATCTGCACTTATTCTGCAGTCTAATCGTTTCAAGATTTGAAATATGAATCAACGTGGATCAATTTTTCCAATGCATAACACTAGTATACAGTAATGTTTCCAGGGTCGCATACGAATATTACAGATCAATATTTGAGATGACAGTTTATCGCAGTGATCTCTGTCGCATATTTACGCTTTAACATACGACATCAACTTTACACAATACGATAGAGTGGCCGAAGGATAGAAGGAATTGGACAAAATGACAAGGAAAAACGTGTATGCAAGTTTTGCGCTATTGAAAGAAACAGGATGCAGCTCCACTGTCATCATTGCCGATCGTGTTCCGGTACGAAGTATATAGCAAAGCGACTTCTAATATTTACATTTGCTCTGACAAACTACAATCACCTAGTCACAATGCTCTATTGTGCGTGGACGTTTTGTATGCTGCTGTTGCTTCAACTACAGATCCTCGTCAGAGTTAAGTGCCAGTACCTATGTATATCGATCGCTACCTTGATGGGGTTGCATCCTATATGAACGAATCAATATTAACGCAACCATATATCCTACAACAAATTGCAGCGTACATGGATCATCACTGCCCTTTCATCAACGGCTGCGTCTGGGAGTGCAACTACGCCCACTTCTTTCTTTTCCTGGTATACTCCTGCGTGGGACTGTGGTATGCGCTGTGGATCACCGCTCCAATTCTGAGAGATTGTTTCCTCCAGGGCCATAGCAAATCAGAATCCTGCGCCGGTTTGGGAGGCCCACTGACGTTCATGGCTGTTCCTCTGTCAGCGCTCAATATTCTGGTGCTGATAATCCTACTGCTGGAGGTATACAGATGATTTCGATGCTTGCTAAACAGGCTCCAAGTGGCCTACTACGCATGAGCGGCATCAAGCGCCCTAACATCCACATCTACAACATACATTACGTTGCAATTGGACCTTCGTACACGTCTAATCATTGGGATTCAATTCGCACCAACAGGTGTTGGTACTTTTCGTCGATATATCGACGTTCATGTGGTTCAAAGGGCTCGACCGTGGTATGATCAAACACACTCGAGGTGCTTATGAGTACGGTAAGTGTTTCGAGTAATTCTGCTTAGACCGGTTGCCCAAATTGTATGAAGCGGTTGTATATATATAAAGCAGTTGCATATATCATGGCAGCGAACTTGTGTGCCTGCAAATAAATATTTATATTATCCGTGCACGCGGTGGTACCTGTTCGTGAAATTGCCGACAGCTGGAACTGTTCTGTTGACATTCCCAGTCCAACAACGATCGCCAAGCCAGCACCACCACCGAGCGAGTTAGCTAGACGACTACTCACACAACACACGCTCTTAATAACCTCTTCTCAACTTGAATTCGCCTGTCCCGCCCCGCAGCTGTCCGAAAATCGCGTATACCAGGGAAAGCAAGTCGGTTCGAAGTGTTGCTGAAAGGACCGCTACGGAGAAACGGATACATCATGGCACTAATCCCACCACTGCACATTTTGGCCCGAGTCTGCTCTTTTAACGTATCGCTATATCTGCGGCCAAATAGCAGGGAATGCCATGACAATAGCAAGTCAAAGTCAAAACCACACGACAAGAACTGCTGAAATAAAGGGGGAGGGAAACGCAGAGGGGAACATCGTTGAAGTCTGCGAGGCAGTATTGAACTGTCACGTAGCACCCGGTGGGAAATTAGCAACGGGAGAAGGCATACTTTCGTTTCTAAGCCTCTGAAGGAGCTCACGACGAGTTTGTCGAGCAACGAAGCACCCGCGTATAGCTTCCTTTGCAGCTCTGCATAGTCTAGAGAAATGCGATTCGCCTGGTGTCAATCGTAATGCACATGTTTGCACCATCGATTGCATACCTTGCAGCAGAATGCCGACGTGAAATTGCCCATATGTTGGAATATTGTAGATTTATGACGACACTTCGATCCACTCTGTAGGCAGTTGCTGACCAGGGATTAGCGACCTAAAGTTCAACTACCTAAGCAATCGATTGAATTCTGCTGTATAGATGCGGGACCTGTCACTGATACTACACGTGTTAATCTAATCAATTTGCACTCAAGTGGTAGATTTGGGAATGGCAAGCTCGCAGCTACGCTACAGATACACAACAATTAACAATAAAATTAAAACAGATTGCCCATTTCTACTGCAGCTCCGATGTTTATTGTCTTAACTTGCATCGTTCCGACTCCCATCTTCCCTCCATTCGTTCGCAATCTTTTGTGTCTTACTAATACACAGCACAACACAGCATAGTCGGGACATTCTGGATCATCGGCCAAAGCGCGCAATCCCAGAAAATCGAAACTACAGTAGTGATGTTGAACTCCTTCATTCCTCTACAAAAAAAAAGAAGATACATTGATTTGAGTGATTTAAAGACAACGCCTTCAATCCTCTATAAGGAAAGAGAGGCATAACGACATAAGCGATCAAATAGGCTGGGCTGCCACAGCGCTAGCAGTGCATGCGGAAGGGCGGAGAAAGTGAACCCGCTGAATGTTAAGAAGACGTGTTGTCACATTACCCGCATGGACTATACGACAGAACGGGTACCACTGTGAGAAACAAAGGTTGAGCTGCATGTAGTGGTATCAGTTGTAACAAGACAGGACACGCATGACAAAACAACGAAGGATCGAACATCACCATCGAACCCACCCTTTTTACGCCGTTTCGCGGAAGCATCCTGCAGCTTCTCAGTCAACATGAGCAGCCCGTCCTGGGCTTGGTTCGACACTTCCTCAACCGCCTTCCTCGCAACGGACTCGGCAGGTCCTATGATACGGTATACGAGGTATGATCGAATTGCCATGACATCTTAGTATTGTGCGATGCGATACACACAGAGCCGTGTATATGTTCTGAAATGCACATCAATCTAACTAAGAGCACCGATAGCTCACGACGATAGGCGTTGAAAGGTAACGCGTAGGCATGCAGATGATTTCCAAACTGATGCAACGCGTCTAGAGTTGTGACCAACAGACTACACAAGATGACAATTTAGGGTTATCTCTCACTGTGGTCGTAAACAAATCCATTTCGATGGACAGAGAGGCCAAAGGCCAAACAAACATACCCATTAGTCCTAGATGATGAAGCGCGTATACAGTTCCGGCCATGGACACCGCAAACAGCACGAAGACCATGTTAGAAGGCGTGGTCACAAAGTCAAGGAAGGCCATGAACTCGTTGAAGCCCAGCACCAGGAAGACCACAATCAACCACACGGGCGGAGCACCTGATGTGGTGCGCTATAAGACAGGCACGAACATGGGGACGAAGGTACGGTATGTTAGTTTTGATAGTATGTGTATACTTTGAAGGGCTGCACAGGTTTGGGGAAGCGAAGCGGACGTGCGCTTACTGCGGACGGACGGGTGTACAACAGTACTACAGAGTTATACACCCGAGTCCGAATCAAGCACAAACTCTGAGAATACGGACAAGATCACGGCTGACACGTACCTTCTGTGTACGGAGAGCGTCCTCGTAAATGGGCTTGATGAGCTCGTCTATGCTCTCTTGCAACGCATCCACCTGTGTCGGCTTCAGCAGCTGTACATTCGTGGCCTCCAACGACCCCTCAACCTGAGGCAGGGTCATCGTTGTAAATAATCCGATGAAGTCTACAACCTGTTCCATTGGGAGAAATTTGCGATTAGTGCATGGTTTGCACAACAGATTCATGCATATATCATATCGAATGACTTACAACTTTGATACAACCGAAATACGGATATACCGGCGTATACGTTTCAATGTATGTGAACGCATTCATGCAGCTACACGAATAGAAGGCGAGCTCATATAATTCTTCACACGGGAAGGACCAGTAAGGCATGAACCAATACAACCAACAGTACATGGACAGACATCGACATACAGTATGCGAATAGGAGACAGGACAACATGACATTCCACAGGTTATAGCCATGTTCTCCGTCGTGGCTAAGCCAGCCAGAATTAAATACTCATATACGCACATGGAGTATATATGTATATATATATATATATACTAATTCGAACGAACAATGCATGATCCACAGAGTTCTCAAGAGCAAGCTCAATACTGAAGCTAGTGTTGTTGCCAGATGACCAATGTCATCGAGACAAGACACTCGTATCATCCCCAAATGCATTCGCAACAGTCTCAAACAATGTTGACAAGCTAAGCAAAGGTAAAGGGTACGCAGCCGATCACATACTTTATTCCTTGCATTCGTGTACGCTTCGGGTACGTTATCATCCTTGCCCCACTCCCTCGGTATTTTGTTCTCGTCGTACTTGAAGTTCTTCTCGAATCTACAGGGGAATGGTAAACATGTACATTTGATTTTAAACGCAGTCATTATGCAGCATCTTGATCACAAACGAAAGATAGAGGCACGCAACTAAGAACCTATACTGGGGCTTCGCTCACCCATAACAAATTCACTCAAATGCACAGCTACATCTGACTATTAGAAAAGCAACCGAGAATCCCTGTCAGATCTCAAGTTGACATACCTCTTGACAGCTGTTTCTTTCAATCCGTGTGTAGAGTGTTTTATTTGCTTCTCGGCCAGCTCGACTGTGTGCGTGTTGAACTTTTGCAGTGTGGCAGCTGTGAAATCTTCTGAGAAGCCCATTTCTGCGAACTGTTGGTTGATATCGGCCTGGCCTGTACCATTGGTTTAAAAGTGGAAGATAAATAAAATGAGACTGAGATACGGCCAGTTTTTCGCGAATATATGTCACTGCCGCACTACTCGGCATGCGTCTCCGAAAGGAGCCCTAAAACATACATCCTTGCACGCTTTGTGTATATTTGGCAGATCATGAGTGTCAAATTAAGATTGGTGACAACCCCCCTCCCCCTTGTACGAGACTGTAGGATATAGTCGTCGATTGTCTACAGTCAACATTAACACAAAAATTGCGACAACGACACTCAGCGCTTGTACCTAAAGATCAAACCGTGTCAATCGACGAATTCTGTTTAATATTAGTTTGCTAAGTACATGTTATGCGATAGTAGAGCGTAGCACAGACGACACGATTGTTAAGCGAATACGACATACCCTTTAAAAGCGTGTCAGTGTATACTTGTCCAATCTCCGTCCACATGTCATGACGCCCTGAGGCCAGAAGCGGCGTGAGTTCTGCTTGAAAATGTTCCTCGATGGTACGCGTCTGTATGAGGATGAACCAAGCACGGCGGTATAACTTCGCAGTTGTATAAGAAGGTATTCATGGACACTAATTTTCTAACGAGAGGCAATGGTATACCACCAGCATGAGGATGAACGAGATAGTTAATTACTGGCTGGAACAAACGCGAGATCCAATTGGCACACATTTTGGGCGGATGTGGTGCAGATCCCTTTGCCGGCTCTGCTCAATAGCAGCCAAACCGCTTTGAAGCTATCACTAGCAAAATAGAAATCGGAACCAAAAAAAAGAAAAAGACTAAACGAGAAATCTAGTAGTGCAGACGAGGTGTCCCAGTGCACTTCGCGCACTATGCGCACGCACACATAGTTGACCAATGGTCGATAATGTTCAACACATAGCAGTAGCACCAGATAAACCGTTTAGCGCTTCAAATATGTAAGTACGCACCTGAGCAATAACAACATTACGAGCATATGCGTCTTTCAATTCCGAGAAGTACTCGTCCATCGACATAATGAGTTGTTCGCGTCTCTCCAGGTACGTTGGCTCATGGTAGATGGAACCTTTCTCCTTAAACGTCTGTAGTGATGTACTCACCCTCTCAGCTATCAGTGTTCCCAGATCTTTCACCACTTCCCCGTCACTCAGCGCCCGCTTATAAGATTCAAACTCCTTGCGGGTACTAGCCATCACAGCCTGCACTCAATGCGACAGTAGATATAACAAATGTCAGCCAGTGACACGTGATGTATTATTGTTATCAGCAACATACAGCGGTGTAATGCTCCCGGCTTTGGCGTTCGAATTGGTTGACTTAACTGTATCAGTGACTGAATTTAGTAACTGACGACTACTAGAGTGCAAACAACTTGCACTTGTGCAATACACCAAAACTCTGACTGACATACAGGATAGAAACTGCACAGGCAATCGAATGGGGAAAATTCAAGGAAGAGATTGCTTTCTGTTAATTAAATCAACATCATGTTTCTCCCCTATAGACTCTTCATACTAGTTTGCGGTCTAACTTTCTAACGGCGAGATGCGCACGTACAAGCCTACCTGTGCAATCTCGTCGCATCGGACACGCGCCAGCATTTCCTTCACCGATGGCAGGTCGAGGTCTCTCTCGGCCAGAATGGTCTCCCAGATACGCCCAGAGTACTCTGGAAATCCATCGGCCGGAACCTGAATGAAAGGTGAGCTGGGTCAGGGTCTGGCTTTGGAGAAAGTGGTACTACCTGGAACTCTATAACACAGGACTGAGTGATTGTGTCTGGGATGTGACACGGAAAGGTTTTTGTTCAGATGAGAAGCTACAAATGCACCACGAAATCAAAAGTGCACACGGGACCATTAACCTTATTAACGTGCATCTTTCCACTGTACATGGTACACTCCAACTGCAGGTATGTTGTATTGTTCGTATGAACTTTAGAAATACATAGTTTCGTATAGGACGGTCTTTCCAAACATAATACGCTGGGTAGTACAAACTTACCTGCTTACTGTAGACAGGTTTGTAGAGATAGTCCTCTCTGCTATTGTCCGTGAAGCGCTTGGATAGGGTGGACACCTGGTCCATAAACGCGTCTTTCTGGAATACATAGTTCGGAAGAGATGTGAACTCCGCGTCGAAGAAGTCGCTGAACTTGGTGTCTTTGAGGTTCTCCGGCTTGTCTAATTTGACCCACATATCATCCTGCGTGTAAAGCCATCGCATTTTTGTTTGGTTTTAGTATGTGTGTATTGGACACGTTGCTGAAGAATGTAGCAGATTTGCATGCGCTTCTATTGCACCGAAAACTCGCAACACGGAGGAGGCGAGAGAACAGCATAAAACCAAAGTATCATTAAGCGCAGAAAAAAAACCCAGACCAATGGGTACTGTAACGATCGATGGAAGCACATTGCTTTTACTACACAGCATCTGCAGAGACCACTCTAAGCTAAACCACTGCATGCTATGATTGTAAAGGACACGTCTCACTGTGCGCGAGTGAGTATAAATAAGGAATATTTGAAGATAGGATGGTCGAGACAACTGCACACGGGATCAATAACGTATGTAGAGAGGGATACCAGTCCAACGTATATACTTTGGTAGAGGCATGGTGTAAGTATCATCAGCAAAGTTCTGGACAGCCTTAAGCGACGAAGTGACTAATAATCATTCCTTGTGCTACGACTCACCATATCCTTGCGCAAAATGTTCGACAGGTTAACCAAGGGAGTTGACTGGTGGTCACGGAGGATGAACAACAGCAGAGTCTTTGGGGAGCCCTCCGTATAGAACAGCTTCAAGTGAATCTCAAACACTGCGGAGGCGGTGGGCGTTGAAAGCAAATGTTGGTTAATAACACAGATCCACTTTCACACCGATACCACTATCTTAAAACGACGTACAAACCATTACCGCTATCTTGAAACGACGAACAAACGACGGGCTTGTTTAAACTGAGCAAATCAGCAAATCAATGGATCAACGATGTACCAAAGTCTTAGCCATGCACATGTACAGAGAGCGGGTTCGCAGCAAACTTCTTTATAATAAAAAGTAGGAAAAGTCCCCACACGAACCACGCATCGACATGTACGTAAACTGGGGTTTGTATTCTGGACATACAAACAAACCTGTGCGCAATGTCTCGTAGTTGGCGGCCTGGTATCGGCCTACATCGTTGGTCCACATATTGATAATCAGCACTTCCGAGATGGCAAGGGAAAACAGGGCACTTTTGCGCTCAAATTTGATGTGGTTTTCGCCACGTTCGCGAGAGTCTGAGCCTTCGACGTCCATGATGAGTGACTTTGAATTGTCATCATGGGCAAGCCACAGTCCTTTGGTGGTCTGTTGCCGATGCTCCTCATCCATCACCTGTATTTTGAGAAAGAAACGTTCATGACCGAAAATAAGGCGGGTGGCTGTGCTACATGATAAGTATCACAGCCTAGCACCAGAGAGACACACGCACAGTTACATATATAGACTCAAAGTATGAACACAGTCATGCTGTACCAAGGAGCTACGCTTATGCACATATAGATACAAACTAAGAAGTAAAGCAGCTATGCATATACACACAAACACACACAAAAACACGCATCAACACATACACACAAATGTATTTATATCAATACATAAATACATACATTCATACATACATACGTATATACATACATACACACACGCACATATCTATCTATCTATCTATCTATCTATATATATATATGTATATATATATATATATATATAAAGATAGGTAGATGATATATAGGTATATATCTTATATAAACATACATGGTACATATAAAAGCATATAGTTATAAACACACACATTCACACACACACACACACACATATATATATATATATATATATATATATATATATAC